TGCTCCTGAGGGAGCAACACAGCATACGAGGAGCAGCACCCACTCCCTGGTAATCTGTGTGCTGTGCCTTAGGGTGTTGCAGCCAATGTTTTTTGTGTAAGACGTGCAATGAGGAACACTGGTTTAGACTTACAGATAAATATTTGCAAAGATTATGTCTCTTGAAGAAACAAGAAGAATGTGCAACTGCATTGGGCTGTGGAGCTGCACAGTATTCTGTAACTTTTAACCCAGCTCTCCTGATAGTCTTTGTAGTAGGCAACTGACTTGAGAAGGCAAAGCTGAATTTGAAACAGGGAGAAAGAAAAGAGAGAGGAAGCAAGAGGTAAAACAAACACAGGCTGTTGAGTGGAAAGATACAATATTTTTCTGAGAAGTCTTGTACAGGTTAGAAAAGGATTCCTGACCTGTGCCTGGTTGTTAACAAGGCAAGTGAACCAAACTCATGTTGACTTCCACAGCTTTCACATCCATATTGACAGCATTTTCAGTAACAGCAGGCATATATTGTATTTTTCTTTCTCATACTTTATTATTTTGTACTATGCAAATATTTTGATTGCAGCCAACTCAGTATGCTCTCTTTCTTTCCACCCTGTCTGTAGGGAAGTGACACAATGTTGGCTGTTGTTCTGAGACTTTGAGAGGTTTTTATGACTCTTTAATACAGTTTGTACTCCATAACCTTCGTAAAAGTTAATCTTTTGGTTTGGTAATATGCTTTTTTATCTTGGCACATTGAGATCCAAAATGTACTCCTTCCACCATTCCCAGAGAAGGTAAAGTGGTACCATCAAAAATTATTCTCAAGCACAACAGCTTTCAGCAGTCAGAATAAGTGTCTGGACCCTTGGCATAAGCAGGCTGTGATGAGAAGATACTACCATTGATTATTAAAGTGAGTTACTTGAATTCCTATTAGTCTTTCTATTTTTCCTTTTTTTTTTTTTTTTTGAAAATACAAAGCAAATTGTCTGGGAGCATATAACCATACTGTACAGATTATCCACCACCTTTCCATCCACTCGGTATCAGCATTGCCAAATGCTACACAAACTCTTACTGATTTTTAAATGGTGATTTTACAAACATTCCTGAACAGGCCCTCCACTGGGTGATTCCACTGGGAATCCGTGGCCATTCAATGCTAGATATTGAAGATTTTAAATAAAGGGTAGTTTGTTGGGGTTTATTTTCTTTCTATACAGAGAAACCCTCCTGAAGTCAGTAGAATTGAAACATGAATGATAGAAGTGTTGAACTCACGAAAACGAAGACTTCGTATATAGCATAGTAACCATGAAACTGTTGATTGTGGATATTGTACATGAACTAGCATACAAGTGCAAACAAATGAATACCAGAGAATGCTAGAATTTATAGCTCTCTTCCTAATTCACATCACAGTGGCCAACAGTAATCTCCTTCACTAGTGTTTTATAATAATTCTCTTCTATAAATGTTTCCTGTTCACTCTCATCCCTCATGATGGGCCCTGGGCACAGTGAAATGTAAAAGAGAAACTGTAATGCCCTCACCCCTAATTTGGCAAATGTTTAGCTTCCTGTTTTATGAAGCACTAAAGTATTTCTGTCCTGTAATCTTTCATTTCAGTAGTGAAAAATGGAATAGATGCTGCTGTTTAATGTAATGAAAAATAATTGCAATGCTCCTGAAAACAAACGTAGCAGAAGATTGTTCTAACAGAAGCTCTGTAGCAAACTACACTCCACTAACGTTATCTGCCACACGTGGTGGGCAGGGGGCTTGGGGTTCGTGCTCTAGCAATTCCGGTTTACTGGTCAACACAGAATATTAATTAAACATAGCTTACAGGCTGCATCTCAAATGGAAAAATGAAATTAGACCATAGCCTTAGATGGAGTTTATTATGAAACACAAAGGTAATTTTTTTTTTCCCTTCTTCTGAATCCATGTATTTAAAAGTGGATTCACCATAATATGTCAAATTCATTAATTTTTTACAGACTTTTACACTGGAAAATGGGATTTGCCATTTGCCTTCTCAATAATTGTGCTAGTTCATAGATAGTTACGTATTACTTTAGGACGAAATAGGCCAATAGGGTAATAGTAAATCCTCACATTATTTTAACTTTTCATAAATATGTAAAATGAAATATGTCCTATGCATCTATATACTTTAAAGTGTATATATTTAGAGAAAAATACCTACCTTTAAATTTATGCAAAACATCTACTTTCTGTTCTTCAATTTCATGTTGGAAAAAACTCCATTTACTAATTCAGTCTGGGACAGGGACCTATCTGTGTGTGTGTGTTTGTGTATATTTTTATGTACAGATTTGCCAGTACCTGCCTCACTTTTCTCTAAGGGAATGTAATTTTAGATGGTCAGATGTGAAAGCAGCATTAAGTTAATTAGGGGAAGAAAACCTTGAAAGTTTACGTGAAAATAGAATGTACCTGTAGTATTTAAACTAGTACTTTATACTTGTTCTGTGCCATAGGGTAAGGTAAAAGCATCTTTTTTCTTTTTTCTGTAACAAATTATAGCCTTGTTTATCATGAATGCATTGGGAATGAAACTTACTACAGGGCACTACAGAATTTGTGCTGCAGCTGCTTTCTTTCTGAGTATTTACCGACAACATTCCACAGTCTTGTCTCAGGATATACAGAACTTTGTGGGAATCATTGCAGAGTCAATTGCCTACAGATTTTGCTGAAGTTCTGAGCAGGTCTGGAAAGAGCAACACCTGGGTTTTCTAATGCTTGGTGACTCGATGATGAGCCAGTGACATGCCCTTGCAACAAAGCAGGCCAACAGCCTCCTGAGCTGTAGTTGGCAGAGCGTTGCCAGTAGATCAAGGGAGATGATCCTTCCGCTCTCCTCAGCAGTGGTGAGACACAGCTGGAGTTCTGGATCCGGCTCTGGGCTCCCCCAGTACAAGAGAGACATGGACATACAGGAGAGCAGTGAAGGGCCACTGAGGTTATTAAGGCACTGGAGCATCTCCCTGATAAGGAAAGTCTGAGAGCTGGGACTGCTTAACCTGGAGAAGAGAAAGCTCAAGGGAGATTTTACCAAACTAAATAAATACATGAAGGGAGGTGCAAGGAAGATGTAATCAGGCTCTTTTCAGCGGTATCCTGTGACAGGACAGGAGGTAAAGGGTACAAACTGAAATACAGGAGATTTTGAAAATGCCTCTTAGTCTATAAGTGACCAAACACTTGAAGAAGTTGCCCAGAGAGATTGCAGAGCCTCTGTCCTTGGAGATACTTAAAAGCTAACTAGAAATGGACGTGAGCAACCTGGTCTAAGTGACCGTGCTTTGAGCAGAGAGGTTAGGTAGACAATCTCCAGAGGTGCCATCCAACCTCAGTTGTTCTGTGATTCTGTGACTGCTTAAATAGCTTATGCTGCATTTATTTCTATGAAGTGACAATATCAAAATAGCCTTGACAAAAGCTGTTCAGAATGCAGTCTTGTGAAGATTTCGACACTAACAATATTCTAAGACTGATAGGAAAAATTGAGTATCAACATTAAGAAAGTCCTTGAGCTTTTCATTGCAAAAAAGTAATGAGATGTTCCTCATCTGCCAGTCTCTAGCAGAGAGTTGTATCCTTAACTGCAGTATTGGAAAAGGCGGAGCAGGAACATTCTCTGAGGGGTGTCTAAGCATCCAGCAGTCTAAGCAGGTTCACTCAAAAAAGAGGTATGTTTAGAGGAGAAGTAACAAGCAATTTCTAAACATGGGGTTTTTTTAATTTTAATCTCCCTATTGGTAGTCAGGCTTTACTTGCCTATTTGCCTTTTAGAGCACATAAATAATTGCATATTGTCTGTTCAGTATGAGATACATCAGTTCTGCTTTGTCTAGTTTAGTACTCATTGTCTCCAAAAAGTTACTTTAGAAGTGCAACTGAGTTTAAAAAGGAAGAAAGGGTAAGGAATTCCAGAATCAATTCCACTCCCCATATATTGTGCCATAGTCTTTAACTGCACAGAAATTGATACGTGTGTGTGATGGGAATGCCCAGCCTTTTCCGAGTCTCCTCCATCAAAGTCATCACATCTGGAACTGACATTTTTACCCTGTTCATGTCAGCTGAGGTATTTATCACATCCATGTGGTGCCTTTTAAACACAAGATGAAGTTCTGTTGGCAGTATAATAATTTTTTAAGCATACAGTGTGAGTGATAATAAAATATGTATGGATGTACATGAATATATATGTAACAGTTTGCTTGTACATGAACACACTGATTTGCAAGATTATTAAACTAGTGTTTTAACATTTTAATTGTTAATACTGGATTGTTTTAGGGATCTCTATTTCTGCAAAATGTGATTAGTTTTATGGCCAGAAGGTACTATAATATCTTGGTTTGTACTTCCATGTACTACTATGTACTCCAATATCCCCGATATATAACTAAGCTTTGGAACAGGGTGCCTTTGGAGGCTGTGGAATTGCCATCACAGTAAGACGAATAGTACAAACTTCTCAAGAACATTTAGGTATAATTATTGTACTTATATGACAGGAGGCAAACCCTTTTCATTCCTTCTAGACCAACTTTTCCAGGATTCCTGTCAAAGAAAAAAGCTCAAAAAGCAAAGTGCTTTTTTCCTATGTACCTATTTGGGAAAACAGAATGCCCTCACTTCCTCCAGTGGTGCTGGCATACAAGATGTCCTACAGTTGCTGTCTGGCACAGCTGTTGGAACAATTCAAGGAGTTCAACTAAAAGTGTGTTGTTCTAGAGACTGAGGTCTGTGTTTGCATGCCAGTTTTCAAGTTACTGCTACTTGTGGCTGCGGGGAGTTTGTGTGTGTGTGTATGTGTGTATGTGCTCAAGATTTGACATTTGCTTTGGTCACCATATCTAATTTCACTATCAAGTTATTTCCCTCAACACCCAGCAAAGATCCGCAGTTTTGTTGTTAGAAATCTTAGCATTCTGTACTGCATTTACTGAGAGAGATAACTCTTTGTTTTTCAGAGCTTCCATATGGCTGGGAGAAAATTGATGATCCCATTTATGGCACTTATTATGTTGAGTAAGTTCCCAAGTTCAATATTGAGTTCCTATTAATATGTCTAACCTGATACCAGTATCCTCTGCAGTGGTTAGCCTGTCAAGGAATGGGTACAATTACTTGACGTGTTAAACTGAGAGTATACCAGGAATTCTCAGTCGTCAATGCAGCTAGTGTGTCCAAATATATTCAATGTGTCTCAAATCAGTGACTCAGGCATTCAGTCATTCTCTTTCTCCGAGGTCTGATTTAATGGTGGTGTTCCAGCTGATACTTGTACAAAGATCATATTCATTAAGAAATGTATTTTCTATGTAAGCTGTGGATATACAATGAGGTAGAGATCTTGTTAATCAACGAATAAAGCAAAGCATAATCATTTTAGCTCAGTTAAGATAATTTTCTGGGTAGTCCTTCCTTGCTGCAAATCAGATGTTTATACTGCTCATACCAGAAGGCAGGTTATTTATACACTGCATATAAAATTTTAGGGATGTTATGTTTTATCTTGTACATAAAAGTGCAGCCGAAAATAAGAGAATATAAATTTCTATTTTCATAGCACAATCCTTGATTTCATTTTTTTTTTCAGATTTTATTTTAGTTATGAAACAAGAAAAGATGCTTTTTACTCCTCTGTGCAAAGGGCAACATGAAGCTTTCGTTTGAAGTAATAGGGAGAACCTGTTCTGGCCACTTCCTACATAAAATGAGTAAATTGGAGAGATGATTTTCTCTGCTTTTTAGCTTAACACAGCAAATGAGACTTATGCAGAGTGAATCTAGATTCAAAATTGTGAAACCTGTTCCCAGCGGTCGGTTCTCATTCCACTGTCTACACAAAGTATATAGCAGAGGAGGCAGAAAGTCACTCCCTGTGACTGTGCAGATAGTACTTGAAAGGTTGAGAAATATCTATCCATTAGTTCCTTTTATTAAACAACAGAGATCTTTAGAGACGATGGCTCCTGACCTAAAATCTCAAATTCAGATCCTGGAAGTTAAGCAGTACATTTATTCTAGTTGTTTCATACAAAATAGGAAACTTTTGTTTATGTGTCACATTATTCTCGAATCCGTACCAACACATTGACTGCAGGATCATTCTGGACAGATACTGGGATGCAGTTTTTCCAAACCCCAGGATATGATGCTATTAACATGCACAGCGTAAAGCTGGACAGGGAGATCAAGAAGAGATCTGATTTCTGGAGGTCTGGAAGATATAAGGTGCCTCTTTCTTTACTGCTATAGTGGTAGCAGCTTGTGGATGCCTATGCACCTTCCCTAGCCCTCCTTAAAACCAAACAAACAAATGAAAACAGCATTTGGCCACTACCCTGCTGACTCCTGTCCTGTTCTCCAAATGCAGAAGCACCTGCTCTGCTGCTTTGTCCCCAGCCTGTTCCCTGCCCTCAGGTGAAGGAGACAGCAGCCCCATCTGCTTTTCTGCTCAGCCCAAATCAGCTTAGTCAGTCCAGATCCAAGCAAAAAGATAAGTAAGGTTTTGAAGTCCCTACATTATGCCATTAAATTACCCTGTCTTTTTATGCCTGACTTCTTTTATGATGTCCCCAAGTAGCTAGGGGCTGGAGTTCTCATATCTCTTTGTACTTAACCTCCCCTAAAGACTTCTGCATGTGCAATTATGCAGCTGCTGGGTGTAAGTGTTCTGCCCCAGTCGTTTTTCATGTGTTTTGGTGAGTAACAGGTGTTGTGCAATTCCCGTGCATCAATCTCTTACCGAGACCCCGCTCGGTTGTTCGCACAGCCCAAGGCATTCTGGCACCAGCGAGGCTCACACTTCACTGCAGTCAGAAAGGGAGCAAGTATTTATCTCCATTTCGTGTCCAACCACGGGTAAACAGACGCAAGGCACCAGGCCCAGATGTTATTATGCAATTGCATACTTTAAGGCTGTTAGTGCCAAATTTATTAATCCTGCCACATATAAGATTTGTGGAAAGATAAACCAAGCCTACTGGAGGCTCAGAGGTTTTTAGAAGTGGAATGGATGTTCGCAGGATGGCATTAAAACTGCAGCCGCACTAAGTTCGTAAGGAATTTTATAGTCAGTAGAATGTAGCTGTACTTTAATTTGCTGTCTGAGCCCAATAACTTTGAAATAAAGATTGTGTTCCATTTTTCATGCTAAGAAGAGGCAGTCATACCTTTTTTTATTACCAGTATTCAACAGATGAGTTCATTTTTAACTGGATAAAATCAGACTATAATAAACTCTCTTAATTATGTCATAAAAGTGGGTAAATCCTGAATAGTTAGATTATGAACTTTCACACACTCAAGTCCAGCCCAACTTTACCTGCAGGCCTTTAAAACTGTCAGTGAAAGAAGGGCTTCTTGTCTGCTTAGTGATATATTTGTATCCCATGGGAAGTTTGTAAGGATGAGCTATAAGGCAGAAAGACTCAGATTCACCTGAAAAGGACCAGCCATGCTCAGCTCCAATACTCTGAGACTAGAGGAAAAACTAAAGAAGAAACAAAGGAAAACCTCAAGGGTCTCACTAGTAAAGATAATAAAGACTATTCACAACATATTTGCAAGTTCTGTTAAATAAGGTCTCCAGTAGCAATTCCTTTCCTAATCATTCATGAATGTAGGTGTGAGGCTTTATTGAAGTTTTCATTTGCTTTGTTATGCAGGTCCAGGCTTCATTTGTAAGGTGTAGACATTTGACATAAATGAGAAGTGTTTGCTACACACGGTTTAACTTTCATGCAATTTTCTCTTAATTTATAAACTAAGAACTAGCAGCACTTAGCTGCACAGGGCTATGGAGAGAATATGGTTATTAGAGTTATTAGGTCTTTCAGCATTCTAATTGCCAAAAGATTATCTCCCTCTTTAAGGATGATTAACTACAACACAAAGCTCAATTTCTAGGCACTGTGTTCTTAATAGAACAGCTAAATTAGCCATACAGGTAATTATTCTGGAAAATTCACCTCCTTGACTTAGGGTTTCTGACAACACTCTGTTGCTACTCAAGCAGAAAAATTTATCTCAGGTTTTTGGTCATCAAAAAGTACTAGTACCTGAAAAATGTCAATGTAAAGAGGACTCAGGGATTAACAGGTTATGTATCAGAATGTCCATCCTTCAGGCATTCTGATCTTCAGAATTACTTTAGTGGGTTATAGGCAAGAATTCAAAAGTTAGAGTTGCAAACTACCAAAAAATCCCATACATTAAGGTACATAATAAAAGGAGATACATTAAACTCTTTCTACTGGTGCACATGCTCAGACATGCTAACATTGTGGCAGGGCTCAGTATCTTGGCCATCAATTAAAATTTGCATAGTAGGCATTACTGCCCATAAATCTCCTAAGAATGTTTTTCAGTTGTCTAAAGCACACCTAACGTTAAACCCCAACACAAAACCAACTTAGCCTGGCCACATTCACAGGTGAGATGTCTTACAGGCTGGTTGATGGTGACAGTACCTCCTCATAATACAAGAGACAGTGTTTCAAATTCACAGGTAAATGCAGCCCCAAAACAAATCCTGCCTCTGAGGGCTTGTCCCCAGTTAGTGTACAGTGAGCTAACAGAGGACAGCAGTACTGACCACCCCTTCTTCTCTGCAGAGGGAAATGCAGGATTCCTAAGACTAGAAAGCAAACAAAAGACACCATTGTTCTTCTATACAGCCACACTGGCACTAGGAGAATTTACTTGGATTCTTGTCTTTGGATTAGGCTTTTATGGTTAATATGCATTGTATAAAATGAAGGAGGAAAACTGAAGATAAAAAATGCTCACTGAATTAGATACTATGAACAATGAGCAATACATTTTTTCATCACATCCAAATTCTGTTTTAACCACAAAAGCACTTATTTGTAACCATCTCTTAAACTTGCATTTGGCTTGTCTCATTAAGGCCTAGGTTAGTACTATCTACTTTGTATGCAGTTGAATTAGCTAGATGAAAGGCTAGAATGTCCTTTCAAGAGAACTACTTAGCCTAATAACTTCTTTCTCAGGTAAATTCATGAGTAGCAATTTTTCTGATTTAGCATGAAGCTGTATAGCACCTAAAATTGCATGAAAGGGAAGTGTTTCACGTCTCATCAGTCTAGGAGCATAAATCCAGTGCTGCTGACTGATAAAAATAACTGATCATCAGTATAATTTTCTTTTCTTTGACTCCTTTGGGACACAATATTTAAATGCTGTTGTTCAGTTCTGTTGAAATTCTCACATTGAGCTTTCAAGACTGCATGCTACCATAAACCAGTCAAAATATGTGAATAAATTGGAGCTAAGAATTGCATGAGTTGCATCAACAACTTGTGGTGCTTCAAGTGCCTCTACTAATATTCCTGTCTGATCTGCTAAGACAAATGGGTTATTTTCAAGGTAGCCATTACTGAAGACATTTATGTGTAAATGGCCTAAACCACAACTCTACCTAGGTACTGTAGAGAGGCAGTGGACAACAGATTCTAGCTGTGAGGTCAGTACCATAGGGACTGATGTTCCTTGAGCACATCCTATGTTAGCTAAAATCTCATCCTTTTATAGACCACAGAATCACATGTAAGTTGTAACTTAGATCTACAAAAGGCCTTCTGGGGCACTGAGATGTGCCGTGCATTTATAGAATGGCACTAAGGATAGTCCTTACACACTGAGGATCCTAAATGCAGATCTGTAGCATGACCTCGGATATCCATTACATCTGCACAATATAGCACAAAAGCTATGGGAAACCCATGCTCTTCTGGAAAGGAGCTGAAGACCAGGCCAGGACACTTTAGAGCCTCTTAAAATAAGGCCTGTTCCCTGTGTTGAAGCAATTAACTCACTGTGTAGCAACCCTGGTTTTAACCATATCAAATGCTAACATAATGCTAGATATTTTTCCCTATATCTGCTATTGTTAGCTGTTGCATAATTTCACACTTCTGCTTGTATGAAGCCTACGGATTTCAAGACTGGAATCTTGACATCTTTAATACATTCTAGTATTTATTTCCAAATGTATTCACAGAATGCAATTACATATCAGAATTAATTCTGCTTGAATAAAAAGGTAAATCTCCTTTGGTCTTCTATCATAGAAGACTCTCTCTTTCACTGTTCTTCCTGTAAAACCTTTTTATGGGTTAATTTTAATTGATCATAGGTGATCAGAACTTTACATAGTATTTATTGCCTTGTATAATGGCACTAGTGGTATTTCCTTTACAATATTGAAATATATTACATGATAGGTGGTAGCATGAAAATTAATTTTTTCATGCTTATGTTAGTAGTTGATAATTACCCTATTTAATGCGTGTAAGTCTAGTCTTGTCTTGTCTCCATTTTTAACCCATGAAGTTTGTCTCCATTCCATCATATGTTCCTGTGTTTGTGATAGACTAAGGAGCTGAACACTGATAGTTACAGCATGGTCTAGCTAGAAAGCAAAAGTCTAGGAAAGGAAAGCTTACAGTCTTAAACAGCCTGTCTGAAGAAGGAAAGAAACAAAAAGGACTTTGTCTGTCTGCAGCATAGATTAGAATTTATATGAAAACTATTAATCCAAATTTTAGAGTACAAGAGTAAGTTAGCAGCAACTTGGATAAGTTATAGCCCTGTTAAGAAAGTAGCAACTCTAGGATTTATCGCATTTACTTCCTGTCATTAAATCAAATATTCTTTTACATGACTGAAAATCTTTTCATTGCATTAGCTCTGATCACTAAATCCTGATTTTCCAGGTGTATTGCACTCCCACAGGACTTGCTGCCTTTCCTCTACCTCACTTCTTAATGGCAATTCCACTTACCTTCTTTGAAGCAGGGGTAGGATCTGAATCCCAAGGGACCTGAGAAGTGCTTAATGTGGCATAAAAGGTCATTTCAATATTAACTGAAGGTATTCTACCCTTTTTAGGATCTTAGAGTTTCAAAAGTTCCCAGGTCACCTCTCCAAGTACCTAAAGCCCATGATTGGGATTGGATTTTCAGAAGAACTCAATAAATAGTACCTCAGTGAGCACAAATAAGGAGTGACATGTTTGAAAACTTGCCCTTCTGTACCAATGTATTTATATCCCCAGAACATTTACAGTTGTGATCCTATCTTGCAGAGTTGTTTGATGCAGCCTACTAAATTGTTTTGTCTTCTTCAGAAAACATGTGAAACATATCACAGGACAGGATTGATAAAATGCATACTTTGAATGAAAGAATTAAAATCAAGGATATGATGAAAGTATGTAGTTAAGATAGTAGCTCTGAACACAATACAGAAAATTAGTAGTGTAATGACAGATTTATACTTACTCAGCTGCTGTAGGAAATGTAAAACATAAAGAAAACTCTGTACATTAGATTTTCTTATATTTCATATATTTATCTGTGTAGTTCTAATCTACCATCTGACTTAGTTTCTGCAACATTCGATTTTTCTGTACAGCTGAGTAGATATATAGACAGAATTAAAAAGAAGTAATCTTCAGTTTATTTCCTATGTTAGATTTATTTCTAAGCTACAATCATAAAATCACTCTATGTTCTAGGCTTTACCTTTTCTGTACGTGATTAAGTAATTTCACTTACAGCTAGTAGATAATCATGCCCAAAACTGGTTCATAACCTGTGAATCATGCACAGAATTATACTTGTGCTAAAAACGTGCAAAACTGTCACTGTCAGTCAGTACTGCTATTTAGTATGTAGTTCCATAGATCGAAACCATTCATCTGTCTCAGAGTTCAGCATATTGAAATGATAGGACACTTAGTGCTGTTCATTATGCAATGCGCTAGATCGTGCATTTCTCATTCCCCAACAAAATTGTGTGGATTATAAGGGACATGCTCAGGCCCATTGGGGATTCATTATGGTTTTGCTCTCTAACCACACACACCTAAGTCACATACAATATCCTACTGTGAAAATAATCATTTTCCCCAACTGAACCCCGTTTTTAATCAAAACCAAATTTTTTCCAGCCACATAAATAGAAGAACACAATTTGAAAACCCTGTCCTAGAAGCAAAAAGGAAGCTACAGCAGCATAACATGCCCAACGCAGAACTTGGAACAAAGCCTATGCAGGCCCAAGGTTTCCGAGGTACAGTACCATGTCAGTTATCTTAGTTAAGATGAAAGATCCTGTTCTCCTGTTTATGTGACAACAATTTTGTCATAGTCTGATTAAAAGAGTAGCGTTGCCAATACTCACAATGTTATTACCTATCGCCTAGCATTTTTCTCCCCTGCCAACTCCCAGAACTGTGGGACTCATGAGCCACCTAAAATGCTCTAACCTTCAGAGGCACAGAGAAGAGACAGAAAAGTTGACCGTACTGCTTCCTAAAGGCTGAGAAACAGAAAGAACAATAAAAGCCCTGAAGTAATTTTCTAAATAAAATCATAAATTCTATTCTTGGGAATATACAACTCTCTCCTGAGCACCCGAGGTTGGCAACACTGAAATAATTAATTGTACTTTCTCTAAATTACCGTTAATTGATGTTTGGTATGTTTCTGAGCTAGTTCATCTAGCAAGCATCAATTAAGTTAAAAGCCTCAAGTACTGTGTTATAGGAGTTTACAAGAATACAGCCTCTTGGCAATGTCAAAATTAATGTGCTTAAAACGAGCTGCATAAGCATCAAACAGTATTGGTAGAGACGAATAAACTTTAACATAAGGTTATAACCAGAGAATGAGGCTTGTTCTCCTTTGTAACAGTAGAAAGCTTCTCATCAACCTTACCTAGACCCAAATTTGCCCACCTGCGCCCCGCTCCCAAGAGGTCCCACAGCGTGAACGACCTGTCCCAGTGCTGGTGTGCCCCCCCGGGGACGCGCAGGCTGCACGGTATGTCCTCTGCTGCCGGCCAGGATTTAAACTGCACACGCACTGTCCCTGTTTGTGAAGTCACAACCTCTGCACCTTCCTCCCACCCATCCTCACCAAACGCAGCATGGGAGAGAGGCACGGGGAGCCCCCACCACCCGCACTGCACCCTGAGGCACGCGGAGAGGGGGTGCGACGGTTGCACTGCAGTTGTGTGTGTCACTTGTTGGATGCCAAAGCCGCACATGTTTGGAGAGAAAAAGCTCACCTCTTATTTAGCACTGCTTGTTAACAAATGGAGGGGGTATTTTCCTTATTGAGGGTAATTATGGAGAATGTATTGCTTTGTAGACAAAGCTGAATTTTTGGGTTAGGAAAGAGGTTTTAAAATTACCTCACAGATCATTTTTATTGTTGTAATTATTTTAGTTGCACAATACCCACTTCTAAATGTATTTCTAATATGAAAGAGTATTTATAACTCCCTGCCAAATGCTGATCTGCCACAGATGAGAAATACATTTTAAGCTGTGTATTAATACAAGAACTCACAAATATTATTTTCCTGGAATGCCTGCACTCTTTATTTTCTTGGCTTTCATACACTGTCACCTGCTGTCAGCCAACATTGTTATCTGCTGTCTCCACTGTGTTGCGACTGGATCAGAACTTTTGCCTTTCTTGTTTGTGTTGATTGATGTAGAAAAACCACTCTTCACCCGTGATGCATCACAGCTGAAGGGGACTTTCCTCAGCACAACTCTTAAGAAAAGCAACATGGGCTTTGGATTTACCATCATTGGTGGGGATGAGCCAGATGAGTTTCTCCAGGTGAAGAGTGTAATTCCTGATGGGCCTGCAGCACAAGATGGGAAAATGGAAACAGGTAATTAAGATGGTTCTCTGTTCATTTGTATGTGAAGTTGAATGAGACATAGATTTCTGAGTCTCATTCTCTCCATGCATGCATACATTTTTCCATATGACTTTCTGTGTTAATGTGTAAGACAGTTGCTCTGTAAGAAAAGAAGCTTCTCAGATAAAACTTTCTTGTGATTTTTCTTTCTACTGAAGCCACATAGTTTATTTTTCCCATTTCACAATATTTTAAGCAAGAAAAGATCACTGCATGCTCCTACATAAAAATGGGATACAATGTTCTTTGGTTTATAGGCTGTTTATTCAAGGGGAGTCTGTGCATGGAAAGAAAAAAAGACAGGCAGAGAGAGCACAGACTACTAAGTGCAAATTTATTTCTTTAGAAAGGATGGTTTTGCAAAATAATCAAAGTTGAGTCTGGTCCAACATTTTCATTAGAACCATGAAAACAAGAGTTTTCAGAGTGGTGTATGGACACTTAAGCATCTGTGACCTACTAATAAAGAAGCTGTGAAAACTTATTAAAACAAACTTCCTCTTAGGAGATTTCAAGCTGCTGTTAGGATCTTGACCGCCACAGGAAGTATTTTCATGTCCACAGATTGGTAAAGACTGCAGACCACTATCTTAAAGGTTTGCAGGGTCACATCAGGTCTGTGTATGGATGAAATATTTTTGGAGGAAGATTCACTCAGTTTCCAATCCAGCCATCAGCTCCTGTAGGAGAAGACATTCAGACTAATGGAATAATTACAGTTGGCAGGGACCACCAGTCACTGACCTCCTGCTCAGAGCAGGGTTAACTTCGTGGTTGCTCAGGGCTTCATCCATGGGACTTTAGAAAATTGTATAGGACAGAGATCCCACAGTGTCTGTGGACTCCTGTCCCAGTACTTACCCACACTCATGGTGAAGATTTTTGTTCTTTAGATCCAAGTGGGGTTTACACTGGTGCAACTGGTTTCCAGTGCCTGTAGTCCTGTGTTCATACAACCCTGTGGCTGTCTACCATCTCTCCCCAGCAACCCCTGTTCCTCAGATAATAGTCAGCTGCACATCACTACTGGGACATGTGCGTAATTTTTCCTTCCATTTCTCACCAAGACTTTATGGAAAAAATGCTGGCTTGGGATTTATGTTGCTTCTGCAGCAAACTATGTTCATGGTGGCCAAGGTCACTGTGAAGGTACAGAAGATTTCCTAGCTTGTGACAGATCACTGTGGATGGACCACAACAGCAAAGCAAGATCCTTTTAGTGTGTTACAGTACAGGAGGCAGACGCAAACACAGAGGCACAAATAATGTGGGTTGAATAGTCCCAAGTCATTCTTCTGGAAAGTTCCTTTTATCCTTCTTTTATTGTAGGAAAGGAATGATTTGGACTATTGCATGTTCAGAATAAATCACCCTGAACTCTAGTTTATTCTGTAGGACTCTCCAGGACTTCTCAAATAGGAAGTGTGAAGGTTGTGAAAAGTATTATTTTTAAAAAAACACAGTTTGCCTCAAGTCTTATATTTCAGCCAGCATCTGCTGACAAATAGGTAAACAGAGAACTTATAAAGAAGTAAAATGTAAGAAAGAAGTAGAGTATAGATTGATGACATTGGTTTTTTACAAAGAAATTAGTCTAACAGCTTTTTAATTCTCAATTCTAGTTGCCATTTTAACTTAATGCAATTTGGTTCCCAAGAGCAAAATTAAATTAGCTGATTAAGTGAACAAATGATACAGCAGACTTCCTGAAGTCAGGAGATTAGTAACATGAACATCATTTTCCCTAGTATTTTTGTATTACCTAATACACATTTTGAGAGATTTTCCTTGTTTGTCATGGTTTAGCATTCTTAGACCCAGCACTCAAGTATAGTTGCTAATCCATATGAAGTGTGGGCTGGTTATTGGTGAACTTGTTCCTATGGAGTTCTTTTCTCTGGAAAAGAGAGTATCCTTGCAATTTTGATGTTGAAATTGAATATGGGTGTCATCATAATATTGATGATGATTATTGTAGTCATGGATTGCGATAAGGATATATAGGAAAAATGTGCTTTAAAATGCATCGAAACAACATTGATTTATTTCTTTGGAGATAATTAATTCAACTATATTAAGAATGCAAGACAGAAATGTACATTCAAATACATAATCACTCTATAATTATGTGAGCCCAATATGTACAAAATTACATCTCAGAATAAATTCTGGCCTCAAATGTCTTCAGTTTTTAGAAGAGTGATAGAGTTCTGATGTAAAGTAATTGGAGAATCTCAAGACTAATGACTGTGGTGTCTAACATGGCTTCTATGAGTATTTGAAGTGATTGCTAAATATGATAACGGTAAACTGAAAAAAGATGTTTAAGGTCAGAATATTTATAAAAGCACTGTTCAGCAAAGTGCTTGTATTTCCTCATAGCCAATCTTTTTCACACTTCCTGAAGTAGTATTTCTCTCAGTTAGGCCATTTTACAATCTAATCAACTGGAGATAGGAAAGCCTCCCAGGTTCCATCAATAGCATTTTGTTCATGAAGGTATTAAAACCTTACGTTCTAAAACTACTTGAAATTACCTATGTACCTTTTGCTTGTTAGGTAGGCATCACTGAATGATGAATAGAACTTTTAAAATAGATTGTATTTATTCTTTCAATACAAACTGTGTGGTATTGTGCAATTTATGTGTGCTTCAGCTATGATCATAATCATAGGAGGCTTTGATAAATGATCAAAACATCATATTGTGGCAGTAGGGCGTCATAGGAGAAAGCTCAACAATGGACTATGAAACGGATAACCACCCTTACACCCAGGTTGCTAGTGCTTCCGTTGCAAGGTTGATAGTATTTTTTTTGGCCAAGTGGTAAGCAAAATCCTAGTGTTTCAGACCTGCATCAGATATGGAGAAAAGAGTTAAAAAGAGAAAGAAAAGGCAGTATCCCCTTCATTTTACCTGATTTTGGCCACAGGCTGAAGACACCAATGCTTTACTTTATCCTAATTGTTAAAGAGAGAAGCTCATATAAAACTAATACTGTAACTTTGGTTCACTTCTTCACTCAAAATCTGATTTAGAGGTCAGATACAAATGCTATTCAGAGAGAAGGGTGAACTTATGTAAGATGTTACTGTCACCTTTTAATGACCACAATACAGTGATTTCACCTGCAGTTTTCAAAATGAAGTAATATTGGATTTCATCCCTTGGACCATGGAAGCAGCTGCCTGGCAGTGACTTGGCATTACTGTGATGCTGTCAAACAATTAAAGCAGTGAAGCAAACTGAGTGCACTGAGATGCCACAAGAGATATCTGAGGTCCTGGTGATCTGACACCATCTCTCAGTTCCCAGTTCTGGGCACTAAGAGGTAGCTATAGTTGTCCCAGACCCACAACAAACCTCACAAGCAGACTCAGAGGAACCACATCTCAGTGGATGCATCAAAACCAGCCAAAATTGCATTCCTGATCCCATTTACCAGATGTTTCAGAATTCCTAAGGGTTATTATGTCCTCATGTAAATCTAGCATCTGCGAGCTAATGTCTGTTAATAATACTGCAAATGTCTTTCTAGGACATGTTTTAGCATTCGGAGCTCAATCAAGCTGCTGGATATGAGCATTACACTCCACAGCATCTCTGTTTACCCCAGGAAAGCCTAAGAGCTGATACCACATTCTTTCTTGAGAGGGTACACTGCTTTGTCTTGTCTGAAGCCTCATGCTACCAATAGAAAACCGTCCGCATTTAAGAGGCCCCTGTATCTCATTAAAATGCTGAGTAAACGTCACCGGTAAAAGACTGTATCTACATGAAAAGGTTTTTATACAGTGAGTGATTTTGAGTGACTTCTGTTCCAAGGCAAACAAAGATTTAGGCCTGTGGCTGAGTCAGATGAAAGCATAAGCTGCAAAGGCAAAAACTTTCCTACAATTCTCAAGGTTATTCGATGGACTAGATAAACTGAAACACTCCCACGTAATCAAGCTTGGGAAAGATCCTCACTGTGCACATTTCAGCATGTTCCCATTCCTTTGGTGAAAGTTTCCAGGAAACAGCTCAAAGACATGGTGAACTAGTGGTTAGTTGAGTCTATTGATGACCCTTCTGAATGATGAATAGATGTGGTCATTCCAGGTTGAACTTTCCAGAAACATATATACATCTGTGAAAAATTGTCATAGCTCAACATAGGAAACATGCTTTTTCTTTTCATCAGCCAAGCATACACTTGGCCAGCTCCAAGTGTAAACAATGCAGACTTGAGCTTTTTCACATGCTGTTCTCTCAGGAATCGTAGCTTCAATCTATTGGTTAAGCTATTCTAGAAATAAGAAATCATAAATGTAAGATAAGGCTCAGCTATCAGGTACAGATGTCTACAAGACAGATGTCTACGACTACCATATGTGTAGACATGTTCCACTTCTAGTTAGCTGAATTAGGATGAAGCCTACAGGCTAGACATCTAGGCTCTAGAGATCAGTCCCACATCTACCACTCAGAACTTCTACTGCACTTGAGAGACCTCCAAAGGGAATGAACCAGCTGTTACAAACACTGGAAGGAGTGGCCCGTGGCCTTGCTGCTATCCATGGGCTTACTGTCCAGAGCCATAAAAATCTCCTATATATGATGAATTTTTCAAGAAGCTGAGATTCTTTTAAATGTAATCAAATTGGAGAAACTGCACCACTGTGTTAGACCAGTCGGTGTGGATTTGTGTTACGTTCCCTGCTTGTGCTCCTATATCTTCCAGCACAGGCAGCTGAGGAAACCGTGCAAAGCACAGCAGAAACAGTGTATTTGCATCATGCACAACCAAGATCATTGCATTCCCTATTCAGCCATGACACCTACATTTCTTTTCACCAGTGATAGGGGTTATGTTTTCCTTTTTGTGAGCCAAACCAGGAGTAATTATGTGGTAAAACCTCAACGTGGTTTTCTAAAACCAGTTTTCTTTCATTCCACAATGTAATTTGGCTTCTCAAGGAGAGGTGAG